CTGAATAGTGAATTACTGCATAAGAGTCTATATAAAAGTTATTGGAATATGATGTAGTTAGAATAAATAATTCGTAAGCTAGCAGCCAGAGATTTAATGTTATGGATGTTGTTCAAAGTTTTCAGTGTGTTTAATAGTCATGGATGGCCGGTGGGATGAAACTGTCCCTGAGTCTGGTTATGGGGGGTCTTTGGTAATCCTGAGGGCTTTCTTCCTGAAGGCCCGCCTGGGAGTAAAAGTTCCTCCATGATGCGCCAGCTCCGTCCTGGTGATGTGGCTGGGTGCAGTTTTTCACCACCCTTCTGTTAAGACCTTTTACGGAGTTAGCGGCGGTGCCAGGCTGGCGTACCAGGGCCCGTGATGGCAGCCAGTTCAGGGATACCTCTCTGGTCGGTGCCACCTGTTAGAAGTTGCAGAGTATCCTGCGAGTCCATGGGTTGAACCTACCTCAGCCTGCGGAGGAAGAGAGCCCGCTGTCTCGGAGCCTTTTTCGGCTGATGGTGGGTGCGTGTGAAGAGTTCCATGCTCAGCGTCCTCAGTGATGTGCACACAGCAGGAACCTGGAAGCAAAACCTGCTGACTCGCTCTTCCACGTAGCTCCCATTAATGGCGGATGGCGGGGGCGTTATCCCTCTCTCTGCTGCTTCCTGCTTAATCCACAATTCAGCTCCTTGGGGTTGTTGCTGACGTTGCAGATGGAGGCGCCAACATGTCAGGGTTTTCGACCTCCATCTCTGGTACGCCGTCTCGTCGCCGTTCGCGTGATCTGGCCGGATGACGGCTCGTGTTCGCTCAGCAACTTCACGATGGTGTTGGAGCTGTGTGTGGCCACGGCAGTTCGTGAGTGAACAGGCAGTAGAGGAGAGGGCTGAGCACGCAGCCTTGAGGGGCTCCGGTGTTGAGGATCAGGGTGGAGGATGTGATGTTTCCCACCCGCACTGCCTGGGGTCTGCCCGTCAGGAAGTTCAGGATCCAATCACAGAGGGCGCTGTTGAGCCCAAGGTCTTTGAGCTTGATGACCAGCTTGGAGGGCACAATGGTATTGAACGCTGAACTATTATCAATGAACAGCACGTGTGTTCCTCTGGTCCAGGTGTGAGAGGGCAGTGTGGATGGTGAGGGCTATGGGGTCGTCTTTGGACCTGTTTGCTCTTTAGGCAAACTGCAGGGGGTCCAGAGAGTCAGGGAGGGAGGAGGTGATGAAGGTTTTGACTAACCGCTCAAAGCACTTCATAATGATGGAGGTGAGTGCTACTGGGCGGTAGTCGTTGAGGCTGGTGATCTTTGGCTTTTTGGGGACAGGAACGATGGTGGAGTGTTTAAAACATCTGGGAACTACAGACTGCAGCAGGGACCTGTTGAAGATGTCTGTGAACACCTCTGCCAGCTGAACGGCACACACCCTGAGAACACGGCCTGGACCTGATGGCCCACACCACCTTGTGTGGGTTAACCCTTTTTAAGGATTTGCACAGATCTGCCCTGTTTAAAACAAGAGGGCAGGGCTCCTGATCCTTCTGTACCTCCACAGCCCCTCAAATCAAGACCTGTAGAGGTTGTTAAAGGGTTGTTTAAATTCCCTGGGAAACATAAATCACCTATGATAACTATAGCAGGATTACAAAGTTTGCATGATCATGGATTTTTATTCCAGGGTTAAAGTGCACCCTTTACACATTATTCACATGACACCAGTACATTATCGCTCATCCCAGTCCTATTCTCTTCCTCCACTGTGACTTGGTAAATTGTAAACAGACACAGAGGGTGTGAGGTCTATGGATTACAAAAAGCTTCTTTCCAGACAATTAGAATTCAGAACAGCAGTATCTGTGAGGAGAAGCCAGGTCTCAGAGAGGTTCCCAGCAGGACTGAGCTGCTGAGAGACGAAGGGAATATCTGCAGTGGTTCTCCAGTTTTTTTAATAATCAATTTAGTCAAGCATACTGCCGAAGCAAACAGCGGATTAAGTAGAATCAAAGAGCTCTTTAACCCTTCTGGCAGCTTGTCCGTCTGGATCTGTACTCATTAGTTTGAAACACACATATACAACCATACAGGCGCCCACACCTCTCAGTTTTGAAAATGGGATTATTCTCACTGCACACAATGCAGAAGCCTGTACTGTATTATTCCTTCACAACCGATGATACCAAATCCCACTTCGGAAATATTTCTCAAATGTTCATGCCCTCCTTTCTTATTTCCATAATTTGTGTGGGTTGAGGTAGAGGGGAAAGGTGACAGAAAGTGAGAATTGAGAGTGAGAAAAACATTTGCAAATTCATCTACTGCCTGTACTGTATTGAATACAAATGTAAATAATAAAAAGCCTAATTTAAACCCAGCACCTCCACCTGAGAGCCTTTTCTGAATGGCTTTTCTTTACAATGCAAGCAGGAGCTCAGAATCCTCAAGTGTAAAGTAAATACAAATGGGGGTGGGAGTGTGGATTTCTTGCAGCCTCATTATAGCAGATACAGTGGGGCCTTTTTCAAACAACGTTTTTTGTTTATAGCTGTTTTGCTTCCAGCAGAGATTTGATTCTGACAAAAATGTTGCAATTAAAGATTAAAGCCCACTTTGGGAAATTGTATTCTACAACAGATAAAAGACAACAGCTCTTACGAGCATCATCCATTCAGCCGAAGATGCTTTTATGGGGCATATCAATTATAGTTATTTGTCTTCCATTTCCACTTGGTACCACTTTGCTTCCCACAGTATTTACCTATTTAAGCGAGAAGACTTGGACTATTAAACATTTTCCTTACACACACACACACACACACACACACACACACACACACACACACACACACACACACACACACACACACACACACACACACACACACACACACACACTCAGCCTTATCTTTTCTCAGCCACGGCTCCGCTGATCTCCACTCACAGTTCGCCACGTACAGCCACACACAGCCAGAATAAATAATAGAGCACAGTTAACGATACTCGCTGTCTCCTGAGTTGTCTATTACAAAGCAAGATACACATGCAAAAGGACAACACTCTAACACTGTCCGCTCCTCGAGCCTCAAAGGGCGGAGCAGCGAGCCCCGCAACGTCCCGCCAACACTGCAGACCCCATTTTCATCTGTTTTTCATTACTTGTGTCATTTTCTGGTTGCTAACAAACGCCATTGTAACACATAAACACACATCAGAGCGCAGTGGGCTCATAGGGAGGAAGGGGGGGGAGGAGCTCCAACAAGCCGTTTAGGACAGAGAGTGAATACACATACTATACAGAGATGCTGTATGAGAAACCAATGTGAGTTTGGAACATTGAACAATGTAAATCTATTCTAGTAGACCTCAACAATGGAATTATGATCAGTAGAAATGGCCATGACATGGGACCTTTTAAAACCCCTGAAAAAGGATTTGCGACCTCCCCTTTAAGCTGTGTTGACCCCCTGTGGTCTAGTTGACCCAAAGAGAGCTGCATTCAAGTTGCCTTTTTAAAATAAAAAGGGGGAATTATGAATGGACTTCCCAAAGAGAACAAAAGTATCAAAATTGCATTTTATTTTAAACACCCCTACAGTTGGTGAAATGTTGATACTCATTTGGAGATGTAAGAAACTCAGACATAAACCATTCATTTTATATAAGCTTTTCATTTAAGTAAGGGGCTTTTGAGTTTAATGAAAAGGGAAAAAAAGATTAATGGTGAAATTGCTTCTAATTTTAGGACAGTGTGACCACTCTGCACACTATCAGTAAAGTTCAAATTCCATAGTGATTAATGTCTGTGTACACAACTCATTGGAGTGTTCCAGATTTGAGGAGACGACACTGTCCCTACTCCCCATTCATTAAAACTTACATTCTTTGGCGAAAGATCATTAATTTAGTTGAATAGGCATGATTACACAATAAGAACATGTTGACCCAAGACAAATATATTGTCCGTACATGTGTTTCTTTGAAAGCATGCAGCTGATAAAAGGATTATTTTTAGAATGGAATGTACACTATTGTTGACTTTCTGTAACTCAGCATTTAATCACACTTAACTACACATGCTATCATTAAATGGCAAGGCTCATAAACTGCGTTGCCCCTCAGCACTATCGCTTGAAAGTACAAACAGAATATTTGATATAAGGTCACTAAGTAACATCAACGTTGCTTTGAATTCTTTTCTTTGTTGCATTCATTTATTTCAAAAAGAAGAATGTCACAGCCAGCTGAAAACGATTACAGTTCCTGCTGCGTTTCACCAAGACCATAAATCATGTTACCTAACACCATGTCAATTCATTTCAGCTGAATCATGAGTTCATTAGGATTTACTACATTCAAACAAAAAAGCAGATACATTCAAAACTAAAGCTCTAAAGATCAAACATTTAGCATAACCACATGAACTGCTTTGTTCAAGCTGCATTTGTTACATGTATCTTTCTGTAAAGCTAGATGGCAGCACAACACTTGTATTGTCTGATCAGTACTTCTACTACTGGCTCTCCATCCCTCTACATATCATCCATAGTCCCGCCAAGAACTGCATGACTCATTTGTAGTTTTTCTTGAGTTGGTATGTAAGACTTTCATCATCCAAACAAATGACATCGCTAATATAATTAGTTTCCAATAATATAAAAACATAACAATAACATTACAAAAATACAAGACGATACTCAGTAATAAGATACTTAATCAACATGACGAATACAGGACAAGATGGTTATTAACAGTTAAGATACACACTTCATTGAAGTTTAAAAGAGACATGTTTAATATATATTTTCCCTGTATAAAAATATAGTTGTTTGCTTAAATATAAGGTAGCTTTATAAATCCTTATATACAAGCAGATAAGTATAAGTTTTTTTTGATATCGTAGTACATAAAGTCAAAATTGCACTTCACAAGCTGTTAATCAAATCCAGGTAGTCCATGTGGCAGTTTTGGGTCCGGTAACATCAGAAAAATCCTCCCGCTCGCGGCCTCCGTTCCTCCTCAGGTCACGGTTATTTCAGAGAAGATCTTCAGGAATTGTCTTCTGTCTCAGCTGCCAAGCTCGCTTTGGAAGCTGAAGAAGAGACGGACATTCTTTTCAAGTCCCACAGGCGTGATTTGAACTCATCCATAAATTATACACTTGTTCTGACTAGGGATTTCACGAGAACCGATACTTTGGTACGAAGTCAACGCCAACATTATATAATCAATTTTTTTTTTTACAGTACTACTGGTTGTAGTGCCCGGTAGTACCTTAAGGTTCTTGAGACTACATGTATTTGGGACACAGTAATTGTTTTCTTTTAGATGTTTCCCTTGGTAACGAATATGAAGAGTTTCCCTGGTATCGGTATCGACTACTAGATTTTGGGTATCCTACCATCCCTAGTTCAGACTGACTGATGCATGCAGAAATATATGATTGAAATCTCTCTTTCATCCAGAGTGAACTATGCAATTCTTCCTTTGATGGACTGTAGCAGCCCTTCTTTTTGTGAATGTAGTTGTAAATCAGTGGAATAAAACCTCTGAGGGGACTTATCTTGATCTGCTGTGAGCAAATAACCCCAACAAGGATTCTCCTTTGCCTTTCCATGCCTGTCTTTAGGACACTGTGCGTGTGCTTTTGTGTCTGTGAACTCGCTGACCAGCTTCAATGCTCCGCCTTTGTCTTCCTGTCTGGAGGGCGAGTCGAGAGACATCCAGGAGTGAGCGTCGGCGGCGTCCGTACCCTCCGGAGCCCATCTTTTTCTCAGGGGCATTGACCTCTCTCGCGGTGTTGCTCATCCGGTGCAGACTGTAGAGCAGGTCGTGCAATGCACAGGTGACCAAGGCGCAGCCTGCAGCTTTGTTGGGCGTTCTTCTGCGTCTGATATGTAGCCCAAAGCTGGATAAAGAAAATGTATGCGTTTTTTTAAGAATGCCTTCCAGGGTTGTTAAGTCTGACATGGCAACACGAGTGGACAGGGTGTAAACCCAAGCCGTCGAGATGTATCTAAATTCATGTAAATGTGTCAGTTCACATTCTACAAGTTATCTTAAAAATATCTGTTTTTTTTACTTTAAATGTATTGTCCTTTAGGTCAAATTTGTGTTTCAGCCAAACATAGAAGAGACAGAAACGTTTGCATTCAGACTAAGATACAAAAAAAGTAATACAATGCATGAATACATCAAGTACAATAATCACTTAAACCAACATAAACATCTAACCCAGTGGTTAAAAACAAATCGTATCATCAGTTTGGTCACTCTAAACATTTTACAGTTTTGTGGCCTGAGAAATGAAGGAATTATTCAGCCTGTAAGTCCTGTCTTTTAGAGGTCCAAATCTCTATCAGAAAATACGGGAGCTTAAACTCTCCATACTTGGTAGGAAGGAATTTCATTTTTAATTCCTGTAAATCAGAAGATCATAAAGGCCTTAGCTTACACATGCACTCCTGGTTGCCTAATGGTTTAAAAGCCGAACATCAATTATAAATCCCTCCATTGTCTACTACCTGTTTCTACATTATCAGCCATCAACTTTGGGCCTCAAAACGTAGCTTTTCTCGTTACCTTGACGGAAGTGATGCCAGTTTTCCATTCTCGTCCTGCTGCTCTCCAACATGGAGGTCAGAGTGGCTCTCAGCGGCTGTCAATAAGGTGTCACACAGATCTCTCTTCATACGGGTGAGCAGCCATACTTTGGACCTGCCACAAAGAAAAGTACACATTCTGATAGAAGAAACTGACACTTATTCACAGAGAATAAAAGTAGAGACTTAAAATCATGATATTCAGAAACACGCAAAAATAATGATTCAATTAATTGAGTTTTCTCAGGATGTTAAGAAATATCATCACTTGATGGTTTCAGAAAATATAAATTGATAAGAAATTGCTTGAAATGTTTATCTGCAAGGGTGACATATTGGCCACAAGTTGGCTAATCACAGACATAACGACATCTGCGAGTATTCCTATTGAGTAATAAGAAATGTAAGTACAGGAAGACATGTGGAAGTAGGGTTAGGGTTATAGGGTAAGTAGCTTAGTTTAGTCCACTGGAGAATGGTTCATTTCTTAACTGTCAAATGCCTTTCGCAACATTAATTCATCATTATTCTATAGTAACCAACTTAGGTGTCCTTATCAAACATAGTTTCTATTTGTTCTGACTCTTATGATCGGCTTCAAAAATCCACTATGTGTCGGGCTATAGCCAAACAGAATTGAACTGACTTTACTGGATGTTTTGATATCAATATTACTTGAAATACACATCTCTTGTGTTGTTAAAGGGTGAGCAAATGACTTCTATATTTATTGATAAAATGTTGAGGCTTTTTTTGTAAATGAACACAATGTTCTCTCATAGCTTGTTGATCGGCTGCTCACCTTTTTTTCAGGCTGGTGTTGATCTCCCCTGTGGTACATTTCACCAGTGGCAGGACAGTGGTGAAAACACAGCAACAGATGACCGTGTGCAGAGCTAATCTCATTTTGGCTGGAAGCTGTCAGTGGCAAAGATTAGAAGAAATTACATTTAGGAGGTTAACTTTGAACTGCAACATCTGGTGATTGATAAGACAGTACAGGAAAGGCTGCAAAACAGTGTGGTTAACAATCACACTCTGTTGCATTGTCAATTATAAATCCATATTATATCTATTAATCCTTACGCCCAAAACCACGGGAAAGAAGTAACTAATTAAACTCTTAGTACCTCAATGTCATATTTCACAGGAAGTCAATTTACATTCTTAAATACCCAAAGAGTCCTTGTGCAATCCTTTTAAAGTGATCTTGAATTTAAATAAGGATTATTTGAAAAGCCACTTACCTTAAGGTTTGAGCTTGGCACTTAGTGTAGATAATTTATGATGCACATCCAAGTATGTTGTATATTGTTTAGCAGAGTAAGTAGTTATTCCCCCCCAAGGTTTTTAAAGAGTTTACCATGAGTTGAAGTCTGAAGTTTACACTGCTAACATGAGAGGCTTTATAGAAGGAGGGAGGGAGCTGTACCTGAATGCCAGACCCAGTGGGAGGGACTGTGGGACAGTTCATGTCTAACCCATCCACCCCACATGTAGACAGTAAAACCAAAAACATGCAAAGATTGTAATCAAGTCAGCAATCCTTCAAATGGCGTGACTAAGGCTTGTTAGTTTGTGTGCATTTACATTTTCCAAAAGTTTTGAAATAATCCTCTTAATGCATTTTAGGTTTTTGTAAATCAACACATTTTTTTTCCTCTGTCAATGGTTTATTTTTAGCTTAACAAATTGGAGTCTTATGTGCACCAAGGCCATTTGCATATTGTTTGCCTTTTCTCTTATTATTTGTCTAAAAAGTTGTTTTGGGAATCAGTGGGGTGTTTTTATCGGCCATGCATGCTTTAAGGCAGTTAAGTCAAGTTTATTTGTTAATAGATATGTGTTTTTGGATGATTCTTGTTCAGTCCGAGTCAACCATCTGTGATTGTTAAATGGCTACAAAAGGTTAAGTATATTTAAATGACTATGGTGTTGTTACGGCAACTACATGCACGGTGCTTTTTACTGAACTTGCGCTCTTTCAAATGACCAGTTGAATCACTCTGAGTGCTATTTACATCCACTGGTTGTTAGGGTTCTGCATGACCACCTGTGTACAACGATTAACTTGCATTCAAGTGCACATTGTTTTCAAAATACCCACCGTACCAATTATTATTGTTTTAATCAATAGGTAAATCGTATTCAAAGGTTAATTTCAATTGTCAAATTTGACCCTGACTCAAAACGGTTAGCCGAAGCATCTCAGCTCTGTTACAATAACATGTCATGTGGGAACTGTTGAATTTATCCAGGAGGCAAATGGAGTAGAAAAACAGTTTGATATGGTTGATTGGTCAGCCATGTTGTATTTATTTTGAAAAAGCCTTATTTTACTCAGAATTCATTGCCAATGAGTTATAAATGTGAATGTCAGTAACTGGTTAAATAGACATGTTGTATTCAAGGTATTCACTGCTGAGATTAGGGCTGCAAACCAAATGTCAGAAAATTATGGAAAATGATGACCATGAAATTGCAAACCAACAGCCCAGAACCCAAAGATATTCAATGTACAATTAAGTGACAGAAATATTGCAAGCATCCTCACATTTCACAAACAAAAAACAAACAAAGTTTTGCATTTTTTAAATACATTTTTTCAATTCTAATAAGTTAAAAACATTCTTAGCAATGAATTTTCCTTTGGTCAAATAATCCACTTGAGTGAGTAAATCATATGGGGGGAGGTTAGCTGTCCAAAATCCCACCTAAAACACTACAACTATGCATATGACCTCTTTATGATTATAATGATATTGCAATAACTGTGTTCAAATAATTTCCAATACATCACATACATGTACATGTTATACGGTTAACAGAAACTAAAGTGGTATGAACTGGCAGACATAGAATGATCTTGAATCTTGCACTTATATACTAACTAATCTCTTATATACTAACTAAGCACTTATATACTAACTAAGCACTTATATACTAACTAAGCACTCATATACTAACTAAGCACTTATATACTAACTAAGCTCTTATATACTAACTAAGCACTTATATACTAACTAAGCACTTATATACTAACTAAGCACTTATATACTAACTAAGCTCTTATATACTAACTAAGCTCTTTTATACTAACTAAGCACTTATATACTAACTAAGCTCTTATATACTAACTAAGCACTTATATACTAACTAAGCACTTATATACTAACTAAGCTCTTATATACTAACTAAGCACTCATATACTAACTAAGCTCTTATATACTAACTAAGCACTCATATACTAACTAAGCACTCATATACTAACTAAGCACTTATATACTAACTAAGCACTCATATACTAACTAAGCACTTATATACTAACAAAGCACTTATATACTAACAAAGGACTGGCTTATCTAAAGCCAGTTGAGTAGCACTTGAAATGTTTGGCTCTATGAAACCTGATGTACTTATATGATTCTGTTTTCTTCAAGGTTGTATCTTCTTAGTCGAATGCACTTATTGTAAGTCGCTTTGGATAAAAGTGTCAGCTAAATGTAATGTAATGCAATACCCGCTGTAATATGGTTGTAAACCAAACCTCTTTGAACTCCTGTCTCAACCTGTTGTTCCCTATTCATGTCAAGCAGTTGAATAATACTAATAATGCCCTTCATCGCCTATTTCTTTGTGCACTTTCTGTGACAACGGTTTTAAAGAATATATACAAGAAATGCTGCAAGACCTGCAGTCAGTCACTGAAATTAGACCTTTTGGCCCTTGGTGCAGGATGCCTCACCAAAACTGTCCTAACAAAGGGTCAGTCTATATGACTTCATGAGTTAAGTGTAAAACAGGACCAGATAGAAGACAAACATACATCAGTTATTCCATGGATTGGGCCCAATGAACAGCTGCAGGTCTGAAAGCGCCCTAAGAAATTGTTGAACATTGCACAAATGATGTGCTGTCCTTTTGATAAAGTACTTGTAGTCCTACCCAGTGTTGCCTCAAACTTGTGTTGACCTGCGCTCCGCTGATGCAATCCCAGCATGTATTACATCCACTACCAACCCCTGTAATCATTACCATCATCATGTCTGTAGGGTACATTTCTGTGATCCATTGTGCCAATGTCAGGCCTGTTTTGATTTGACTTTACAAAACACAGTAGCTTAAAAAAGTTTGAAAGTTCTCTAGAAGAACATGAGTAATGTATTTTGGATACATTGAATAGATAAACAAAGTGCTGCCATGGCAACAGCAAGGTACACTTCATGGGCCAAAAAGATGATTCAATTATCTGTGTTCTAACATGATCCTGTTCGCAAACCTAATTTAAATACTTTGTTCTGCAGAATTGTATTAATCCAAAACAGAATGTACTCATGATCAAAATATATTTATCTAGCCATAGGTGGTCACTGTGTTGCTGCAAAAATAGCTTTGATATTACATATACAATAGATTAAGACAATATGGTGTTTGGTTAGGGGACGGATGAAGCTGTGTTTGATTTCCACAGTCAGGGGTCAGTAGAGAACGATGTTAGCTCAACATTGGCAGGCATCCATTATGTGATATTATTAGATATTCGGTGTCTATTTATAGATACACATTTCGTTCTGTCGTTTTTTATTACTACTGAGATATAAAGGCAGGGATTATAAGGAGTTTTAATAACCCTGCCTCTTTGGTATGTAATACCATGGTGCTCTTCTTGGGCCTGAAAGTGAATACTCCCTGGAAATATACTGAGCGATAAGAACTCGACTAAACGTGACGCCCAAAAATGTCTCAAACCTCATTTCCAAACAATGGAAAATCACAGTATCTGTTGTTTTGTGTGGAAAAATACAGGACCAGATATTTATCAATTACAGGTGGAAAACCAAAAGGGCCCTTGGCAACTCAAACTTCAGCAAAGACCAAATGCCTTATCACACTATGTTAATGACAATACAAAATAAACTGGCCCTAAGTACCCACTGTGATCCCTGTCTCCATAAATGCTGTGTATCGGCCTGGTGGTTTTAATTTGCTCCCACATTAAAAGAGTTCTGCCCGGGCCATTGTTTAACCCGTCCAACAAGCTACATGAAAATTGTCCCAATGATTTTCCGTAACCCTTCTGACAAACAGACAACCCAAAGATGTAACCTTCTTAAGCACTTGTTCTTAAATGTAGTTGTATTTTCAGTCTTACGGCCCGTCCACACGGCGGCGTGAGTTGAAGCTTCAACGCTGCTTCCCATTCACCTTGAATGGGGTGACGTCAAGCTTTGCCGAACTGCATTGTGGTTCCGTCGCTTCGCTTTGCCTCCGTTAGTCGCTTCAAAAGTTGAGAAAAGTTCAACTTTTCAAGCTTCGACGGAAGCGCCAGCCAATCAAATCATATGCCAGTACAAGCTCTAGCCAATCAAACTGCGTGCTTGTGTGTCCGGTGCGGGAGATTCATGTGATTGGTTGTTGGTCGAGCTTTAGACACGCCCACCGGCAAGCTTCAACACACGCTGCCGTGTGGACGCTGCGTTAATGCCTAGTATACATACCCTCATGCATAAAGATATTTTATATATATATTTATTATACAATATATATATTATATTTCTAGTTAATCATTTCTTGTGACCTTTTATCTCAACCTGAAGTTTCGTAGAGATGAGCGTCTGGATTCAGAATTTACCAACTGACAGTATTACTCTGATGATGTCATGTTAAATTGTTTCTGGATATTCATTTCTGATTTGTTACAGTTACACTGCCATTTGGCCTCTTATTGACAAGTATAAGCACCCTGTGGTACCCATCTGGTGTTCTGTTGGCAGTAACATCTCACATCCTCTCATAGGTGAATCTCCACAACATGACATACAGCCTGTACATTTGGATGCTGCGTGTGGAGCTGACAGTGTTGAATTTTTGAACACTAAGATCATTCCAGGCTTACATGATTTTGCTAGAAACTAAATTGTTCCACGGTTTTCCATTATTAAGCAGTTGAAAATGTGAGTAGCGTGTCTGAATATCAATGTGGGTGGAATTTTGTTCCAAAACAATCCAGAAATCTCAACACATTAAGCCACAGATGTTAGTGGATCTGATATTCTGACCATTTTGTAACAGGCTTTGACATGTCCCTCTTAAGACCATTGTCAATATTTCACAAACGAGTGGCGTGTTGCAATGGTGCTGTAACTCCTTTTGAATTAATGATACACCAGATGTTCACAAAATAAGGGTTTTACTGTTTCTGGAGTCTCTGATCACCAAATGTGTCCATCACAATGACAATCTTAATGACTAGCAGGTGTAATGTTTACCATGTGCTCAATTTTAGTTTGAGTTTTCACATGATAACAATTGCCAAATAAATCCAAGCTGAAATCACTGAGACTGTTGGTAAACACTTAATTT